AAATCTCCTGATTAGCAACAGTGCCAATGTGAGTGCAGATACTTCAGAGACAGGAAGGACAGCTTTGCCAATTAAAAGTGCTGATAGTTTAGAAAAATTAGGTGAAATTGTGGAGTCAATGAGCTGTATGCTAAAAGGTCACAAGTTCCAGCTCTGCTTTTCTGTACCCAGAAGACAGAGGCTGACATATTTCTTAAGAATTTTTTTTGGGATCTACTTATGAAATTTCCTAGGAGGAAGTGAAGGTCCCCAGGAAAGGACATTGCTGGGGAATTTAGCCTTGTGACTGAAAAGGCTCATCATCTCCTCTGGCTGCTCTGCACAAAATAGAAACTACTGTTAAGCACTTAAAGATACCCTCCCCTCACTGGGGCTTTTTTTTGGATAAGATTCAATGAACACACCAGAACAAAAAGGCAAACTGAAAGTTAAAACCTCTTCAAAATTATCTGATACTAAACACCTAATGTCAAATTGTATGAGACATTTTTTAAAATCTTAAAGTGTTTTGCACATTTTCAAACATGCAACACCAAGGAATGGTTTCAGATCAGTTTCTCAGGATTTCTATGACCACTGGCAGGGGAAACAAATCCTCAAATGGAAATAGAGAAAGTAACAGGAAGAGGAATATAATCAGACCTTAGGTTTTACATTCTTTCATAGCCGTCATTTCTCTTTATGAGCTCCAGCTAATTCGTGCCGTTTTGGAACACTCACTGACTTAACAGGGTAGTGTCATTGCTCTTCAGGATGCAAACTGTTTAACTGGTGGAGTCACCATGTAATATTAAATCAAGATTTCCTTGGCAGAGGGCAAATTTAATGTGAAGAGGATTATCATCAAATGTTCTTAAGGAAAGGCGAGGCTGTGTAAAGGCTTCTGTCCTCAACTGACTTTTTTCTTTTATTGCCTGGAAAAATTTTTTTAAATTTAATTAGTGTAGTGATTTTCAAATTGCTATGAACTGCAAAAGCTTTATGCATTGTTTTTGTTTACACAGAACTACTAGTGGGATGGAAGAAACCTAAATCACCCACGTCTGAAATGTCCTCAGTTTTCTTGAGTGATTCATGCTAGACGTTGTCAAAGTCTAGTGGTTTATAAATTGCTATTAGAGAACCATTTATTGGATGACAACCTGCATCCCTAGGAATTAACAGTTATTACTCCATATTGAAAGATAATTAAGCCCAAAACCAGTAATCTACGCTCCAGTCAAAAGGCCAATAAGAGTCACCATAATTTTACAGAAATAGAGAAGCAAAAATAACAAATTAGCAAACTTCATTCTAGTAGAAGAAGAAAGATACCCTTACCTACGAGGCTATCTTTCACTCTTGAAACAATCATATATATATTCATAGCTTTCAGGATGTGTTATATCTATATGTCTAGGAAGATAAAATAACTTTGTAAATGCTAAGTAAAATAATTACTTTATTGGAAAAGTGGAGACATTGAGAAACTAACTGGTGCTGTCCAAAAGCTAAGATAGACACCGTGATCTCACAATATTACCTGCCTACCACCTTCAACCAAAAGTACGAAGTTATTTAGAAGTCATCCCATTGTTTATCATGACCTTTACAATAGCAAACCCTCAGGTCCTCAGTACTTCCTCAGATACTGGAAGGGTAGAAGAATAAAGAGAAAATAAGTAATTACAACCATAATGGTTTTCTCTTGAAGGGTAATGAGTGATTTTCTTCTATTAGGTAATCCCATGACCTATGCTGTAAAAGTATTATTAATAAGAGACCTTGGTCTCTTGAGCTTTAATTCCCATACTGGTCTTGGTAATGCAGAAATTTCTACATTCTCCCTAGGAGTGTCTAGGTCACTTCCATTCACATTCTCTTAATCCCTAAGGGGCTGATGGGAGATGTCATCAACTCCCAGAAGTGAATCCCAGGTAGACTGCCCTGTAGCCTGACTCCATGGGAATCTTCTTGGTTTGGAGTAGAAATAATCTAACTCTACACAGCATTTCAAATAGGTTACTCAAAGATCAGTGAATTTCTCTGTATGCAAGTAAACCAATTTTGATCAAGCCAATTAGGAAGTAAGTCTGCTCCTTATGAAGGAGAGGGAATAGAGCTCATCAGCCTAAGAACAGAGGGACTGCTTTACCATGAGCTGAGAGGGCCGGAACGAAGTCACCGTAAATTCCATTACATGTAATATTTTTGTGTCCACATATACTTTATGGTACTATAACTTCTCTTTTTAAAGCAAAGTAAGATCAATAGTGAAACCTAAACAAGAGGCAGTTCAAGAAGGTAAATAAAAGATTTGTACTATCTGATGAGACTTTGAAGGAACAATTCTTGAGATATGAGGAACAAGAAAATATCAAGGAATAATAAATGTTTTGTAAAACCTGGGCAAGGTTAACCTCAAATTTGGCTCTGATTCCACGGTGAATAAGCCTGTGCACATGACCCTGGAGTCACACCTGATTCAAGAATAAAAGGGTACCATTTTGACAAAAAGTAACACTAAGGAAGTTGTTTCCAAGAAGCACTGGAGGAATGATACTGCAGTTACCAGTTTTTATAAATAGCATCATTTATATCCCTTTTGGGCATGTTATGGGCCTTCTAAAAACACATCTATGCTATGCAAATTATATTTCTCAAAGCATCATACCACATAACAAAATGCTATTATTTGAGGGAAAAAGGGGAAGTGATCCAATAGTAAACAGATAATGGAGCATACCAAGTACTATATATTTTTTAAAGTTTGCTATAATTTTTTAAACTATTATTTTTCTTTTATATACAAATAATGTTAAATTATGCCCCCAAATTATATTTTATTTTATTTTTTATTTTTTTATTTTTATTTTTATTTTTTATTGCATTTTAGGTTTGGGGGTACATGTGAAGAACATGCAAAAGAGAGCCCGCATAGCCAAGTCAATTCTAAGCAAAAAGAACAAAGCAGGAGGCATCACACTACCGGACTTCAAACTATACTACAAGTCTACAGTAATCAAAACAGCATGGTACTGGTACCAAAACAGAGATATAGACCAATGGAACAGAACAGAGGCCTCAGAGGAAATACAACATATCTACAACCATCCGATCTTCAACAAACCTGACAAAAACAAGCAATGGGGAAAGGATTCCCTGTTTAATAAATGGTGTTGGGAAAACTGGCTAGCCATGTGCAGAAAGCAGAAACAGGACCCCTTCCTGACACCTTACACCAAAATTAACTCCAGATAGATTCAAGACTTAAACATCAGACCTAACACCATAAAAACCCTAGAAGAAAATCTAGGCAAAACCATTCAGGACATAGGCGTAGGCAAGGACTTCATGACCGAAACGCCAAAAGCAATGGCAACAAAAGCCAAAATAGACAAATGGGACCTAATCAAACTCCACAGCTTCTGCACGGCAAAAGAAACAGTCAGTAGAGTGAATCGGCAACCAACAGAATGGGAAAAAAAATTTTGCAGTCTACCCAAATTATATTTTCTACAAGAAATGGCCATCTTGTTACAACTGGGACATTAAAATTGAACCTGGATTTTATTTCCAAAGCTAGCTGCCTTATCCCAGCTGAATACTACTGAAGAGGGAGATGGATGTTGCCTCCCTGTGTACACCAAGGGCACTCCTTCCATTCAGCTGCGACTCTTGGAGCAGTCTTCCCAGGAGGCTGTTGCAAGGGTATGCACCGTGCAACGGCCACCACTCAAATGGCAAGCCTCTGCTCTCTCCTGCCAGGCTGTGAGTGAATACAGTAGAGGTGCTGAACAGAGTACCTGGTTTCAGACATTCTGAGAATTTGGTACTTGCAGTACTCGTTCACATCCTCGTGCAGACAGAAACCAAACAAGAATCAAGATGACACTCGGTGGTATAAGCAAACTTTAAAGAATAGATGAAGAATGCAGACAAGCCTAGGTCATTGAAAACTGTGCATCGACAATTTGAAACTACCTCTGGTTTAAATATTTAGAAGTGGACACCACATTATAATCACAGCTTGCTTGCTAGCCTCCCATTTCCTATACTAAAAGAAATGGAGCAAAAAAGCAGTCCTGGCTAGTCATGCCTGGAAGGGCAAAAAAACGCATCTAAGCATGTTAGGCATGCCAGAAGAATGATGGCACGTCAGCAGCAGACCTTTCTCAAGTGCTCCACAAGACCTGGCCTCCTGTCCCTTCCTCATGCCAGGCCACTTTCCCCTTTTGTTCTTTGTGCTACTGGCCCAGTGACCTGGCTCCAATGTCCTGAGCTGCTTCTTGCCTCATTGCTTTCAAAGAAACTGCTTCCTCTTCCTGGAATGCCTTTCCCACCTCCCTTCCTGGGTATGCATCCTTCTCACTTCAGCGTAAAAGTCAATTTTCCAGAGATTTCTCTGGGTAGATCCCATCCCTCTCCCCCAGGCCCAAAATGGGCCAGAAGCTTTACTAGTTACACAATGTAATGAATCATTATTTTTTAAAATGTAAGTCTTCCCTTGTAAGCTCCATGAAGGCAGGGCAGTAAGTTTCTATCTTCTTTTGATATATTCCTAGTACCTAGACGAGTGCCTGGCACTCAACAAACATTCATTAAAAGAAAAATAATGATTACATCTTCAATCCTTCAACACATTTCAAGATAGTTATTATGGGCCACATTTTACAATTTACTCAAATTTGCACAGCTAGTAGAAATGGAAGATGAGAGAACACAGACTTAAAGGACTTCCTGACTCTGAAGCCAAAGTTCCAAGATCAAATTAGTTCATCAAATTAGTGCACGTCCCACAGGGGCAATCGAACAGCTCTACCTCTTCAACAGAACTTCATGATGAGAAGAATTACGATGAAAGCTATTGACATTCTCTCACTACACAAAATGGATTTATTTATACCGATTTCCTGCTGATGGGAAAACAAGTTGCTCACAATGACTTAACACTTGGACTGAGTGTTTTAAGTGCCTCCTTGAGTGTAAATGAAAGAGATGTGAAGTATAAAGACACTTACCATAATTCCAGTAAGCAAGCAGACTCCTTTTCCGCAGTATGTGTTAGGTACCATGTCACCATAACCAATGGAGAGGAAAGTTATTGATATCAACCACATCGCTCCAAGGAAGTTGCTAGTAACATCCTGTTGATCATGGTACCTGAAAAACAGCAAACAAGGGCCAATCCTTTATAATTAATCTCCAATATGATAGCTGAGTGTGGTTTGGTTCAATTGAGCGAATTTACTGTATCTTCTATAAACTGCTATATTTAGAAGTTTTCAAAGCTTGTGAATATAAATAAAATTGAGTTCCATCTAAGCAATCCCAGACATCGAAAGAGCCTCAACTTTATAAATAATCTGAAAGAGACTGTAAAATATGAAACGGATTTCCTCACTGGTGTAAAATGGCACATTTATCTGTGTAGACTCCAACGGCCCTGCCTGTGTCTCGTCACTCCTTGACTGGCTGATGTGCCAGACTTGGGAGACAATATGCAGCTGCCCAGTCTCACCCCTCACCTTTGTAAGCAAAATGAATCATGCTCTCCCCTTTGCTTGGCTTGTCCTTTGCTACCTTTATTTCCTGAAGATAGCTAACTCCTATTCATCCTTCAAAGCAAGTTCAGGTGGGAGCTTTTTATGTCGTCTCTTCCCCTCGGTGCCTCCCCTGTGCTCCCTCAGTATCCTGCATAACCCTAGATCATGGGACCGTATTGCAATATCCTTCATCCTTGAACACAGAAACTGCACCTCTGATCACAGAGTCCTTGCCCATAACCAGAGCTTAATAGAAGTTGTCTTACCAGTAAGACATTCTGTGTAGTCGTGGGGCAGAGAGGCCCTGCTCTGCTTTCTGTGACAATCAGGCCCCAGAGTCTCATCATCAGAGGACTTCCTTGCTTTTCACCCATCATTGTAAAGGACCACCACTCCTTCCCAACTCTCAGACATGATTCAGAGGGCTTTTCTTTCCTCATTTCTTGCTCTGCAAAATATACTGATAATTGCCTGGTCCTCATCATCTTCTGCTTCACTCAGTCCTGACTTTCAACTCAATTGCCCATCTGTGTCTGTGCTGCCAGGGCTGTGGTGGCAAGGCAGCTGCTCCTAGCCAGAGCCCCAGGATTAACCCTATATGCAACCTATACTGGGCCATTGCATTCTCTATGCTTTTTATTTTTTCCTGTCCCTCATCCCATGCCAAGCTTCCTGCATCAGAAACCTAAAATGCAGATTATCTTATATCATGGAGTATAAGCTTTTCTCCACAGTATCCGATCTTACACTCTATCTTTGGACACCCAAGAGACCCATTCTTATCACATTTGTCCCTTAGCCTTCTTCCAGAGAAGTTCTCTCTAAGAAATTCTGTTTCCTGCTACTTTGGACTAAGGAAAGAGGCTGGAGTGAGTGGAACCCCAGAGAAAGTGCAATGACTGATCTCCTGGAATCAAAGGGAAGGGCATGTGAACAGGCAGCCAGCCTGGTTAGGAGCATTCTCCAAGTTTCTGGTGCCAAGGTGTAGAAATCACCACTGTTCCTCACCCCAAAACAGCCCCTATGACCTGGCTGTAGAGTCCCCTCTCCCCAGACTGTCTTGGTGTAGAGGCCGTCATTGTCAAAAGGAAAGTCAAATATATTCCTAGCATTCCAGGAAGACGGACGAGTGTATTTCCCCTGAGAGTCTTTGTTACCTAACATATACCCTAGGAAGGTGCTATGTGATCAGTGCTACGCCCAGCACAATACGAGCGAAACAGGATTCTGTGGACTGCTCTGGGAGCCTGCTATCCACATGCAACAACTTCGATGGGAGGGCATGGCTTTCCTCTGAAAATAAATCCCTAGAAATAAGCTCTGGATTATAACCTATTAATACTATTGGGGCTCTCTAGTTAGTATTCCTCACCAAGCAGTTCCTGAAACAAAAAATACATTATCTTGTCATAAGTATGGGCTCTAAAGAGAGGGGAGGCAAAAGAGTTCATTTCCTATTCAATTTTTAATTGTGAGATGAAGTTTCCTCTTAGCGTGATTCATATAGAAATCTGATACACTTAAGAGTTAATGACTCCAGTTCCCTGATGCATACTGACTGAGTGTTCACTATGTACTCAGACCTTAACTTGCATTTTCTCATTTGACATATGTTTTAATGCATGGACAATCTTTGGCTGAAACAGTCACATTCTTGACCTCTATATCAGCAAAGTGTCCTTCAATACTTAGTTTCTAGACACTTAGAAAATGCTCCTGGGTCCCAGTGAAATCTTTGAGTTATTTTTTCACTACCACAGTGAGTGGCCAGAGCACTATTATTAATATCTATCTCGCTAGGCTGGCTAGGCACCGTGGCTCACGCCTGGAATCCTAGCACTTTGGGAGGCCAAGGCGGGCAGATCTCCTGAAGTCAGGAGTTTGGGACCAGCCTGCCCAACACAGTGAAACCCCATCTCTACTAAAAATACAAAAATTAGTGAGGTGAATGGTGTGTACCTGTAGTCCCAGCTACTTGGGAGGCTGAGGCAGGGGAATCACCTGAACTTGGGAGGCAGAGGTTGCAGTGAGTTGAGATTGCAAGACTCCTTCTCAAATTAAAAAAAAAAAAAATCTACCTAGGCATGTGGTTTTCATAGAGCAGCTAATTACAAAGAGAAGAGATTTCATACTGTAAACAAAGCTCTCTGGAGGCATCTTCATGGCTGTTGCCTACAGAGAAATCTCAACTTTGAGATGGGTGTCAAAGTCTTTCTAATCTCTTCCTCCTGTAAAATAACATCTCATGCTAATGTTTATGTCACACTCAGATATACTTGATTGTGAATATTCAAGGTGAGGTAATCAGGAACCAAATTAGATATTATTAGAATAATCTCCTATTTTGTTTTTCTGCAACTCAGAAACAAATATTAGACTTTTCACAGGATTATATTATTATTTAAAACCCAGGTTTTTAATCTATGACAGATTCACATCATTGTGAATGATTAATATTAATAGGGTTTAAATTTTTTCAAAACATTTCTTACAGAAGTTCACTTCACAGACTTAAAACAATTTCAACCTTCTTCTCTAGAAGGAGAATCATTCTGAGAAAGGCATGAAGAAATGACTCATACAAATTTCAAGTTTTGATCAACATGAATGCTGATTTAATAAAAACATATTAAGTAAGATTAAAATTAGTGTAAGAAGTGCCTGATAATCTCAATCTTCTCAAATGAGGACTTTGGAGTTGTGGCATCAACTCCACTCTTCAGAGACAAAGATTGTAAGATCAGCTTTAACGTTTTAAAAGAAGCAAAATGTTCCTTAATTTCTATTCCTAATTCACTTATTCATTGCTGACTGTGGGTCTCACACTCTTTCTTAGATTGCAAATATGACAGCTTTCTATAACATTTGTCAAAGTTCACAGAGTTATCTTTCCCAGCGAATCAATGCCTCCCCCAGGAGAGCGGTGGCCTCTGTGCCCTGCCTCCCTCAGCACATTCATGCTAATCGCCGGCAGTTAGGCTGTTCTTCGCAGCTCTCTTTCTCTGCAGATGTGTTTCCTTCTGCTGGGAAACACATTCCCCCTTTTCTCTAACCCTGATTTGTACTTTGAGGATCTGTTTGTGGGTGTCCTTCTCCAGATTCCCTGTAGCTTTTGGTCAGCATTATACTCCAGCCTGGTTCCCTCTCTGTATCCCAGGAACATCTTGTAGATATCTCTAGCAACATTCGACAGATGTTACTTTGGGTCATAAGACAGGTAATGTGGAATTTGCCCATCTAACATGCCCTTAGAATTGAAATTATGAAGAATTTGAAGACAAAGACTATGGCTTATTCATTGTTGTACAGTCACAGATGCTTACAAAAATATAGCAGCGAAGTAATAGTTGAAGTAATTAGTGTGACAAAGGGAAACATTTCTTCAACTCGACTTACCCTAGACCACATGCTTGATTTTGGGGATCATGTACGTAGATAAAAAAAGTGGATAAAAATAATTCTGGCTCATAAGTGAACGTAAATTGGATTTGTCACATTACGTTCCAAGATCTGTGTGCAACTTATAATGTATTTTTATACCTTTAAAAATAATTCAGTCGTGGAGGTGAACAGCTAACAAATTGTGTTCATTAATCCTTTTCTATTAAACTTACCAGTAATACTAAAAATGGCAAAAAAAAAATATCTCATCTCAAATGTCAGCTCTGGTCTCAAATGTCAACCTTAGTTACATAGTGAAAAGTATTATGGAGATGTTAATGCATGTGATCAAACCACCATCAATTCTCTTTCCGGAATCCATCTCTCTCCTGAAATACCACTGAAGTGACAGCACTGCATTTTTTAAAAGGCGTAAACCAACAAGAACAAAGGGAAATGAAAGGAGACAACGGAGAACAAGAAACAACACATTCTTATCTGAATGAGTGTGTATCTTCCTTTCCTCCAAGATGGAGCAACAGAGAACTAGATTTACAGAGAAGTCTCCTCAAACAACTAAAAAAGCAGATAAAATATTTAATACAATGGTTATCAAGACATTGGTTATCTAGCAACAAAGGACAGTGATTCTTGAGAGGCGGAGAACAACTAAACTGAGCAATACAATTGCCTCCACTTTAATGCCTAAAGAGAATCTCCCAGATGCAGCTCAAGGAAGGAAACCTGGCACTGCCTGGAGGTCTCCCTCTGCTGAAGGACAGGGCTGGAAATCCAGGGAGGTCAAGAATTCAAAAGTCCAAAAATCAGGGATGAGAAACCTGTACAGAGACATATGCAGAGATCTGCAAAGAGGTCTGCTTGATTGTTCAGCTGAAAGCTCATTAGCACCTGCCTGCAAAACTACTCAAGGCTGGAGAAGTAGCTGTACTCTATGTGAAGTGATACAGTATCGCTTGAAGATAGACTACAGTAAAAGGTAAACTATCAGGTGAAGAAAGATTGCGCTAACATAGGTGTGGTGTGCCTGAGTATGTAAGTGCAGGCATACCTGGGGATACTGCAGGTTCAGTTCCAGTATCTGGAATCTTGCAATCATGCAACTATTTCAGTAAAGCAAGTCACATAAATTTGTTTCCCAGTTTATAAAAAAGTTATGTCTATTCTATACTCTAGTTCTATTAAGTGGTACTATAGCATAATGTCTTAAAAATGCAT